GGCGCTGACTGTTTTCCCCTCTGGACAGACACGGAGTTGGGGGTGTAGGACCCAGAAAGGGTTGCAGTCTCTACTTCCATAAAATAAAGTACATGTCGGGAGGAAGCGCAGGTGAGTGTCTCTCCGCTTCCACATCTGATTTCTACACCAGGGTCTTGGCTCAATCACTGCGATCTCAGGGAAGATCAGGATAGTGTGGATACCAAATAAAGTATGTACCCCTGCAGAGAACTTAGCATTTACAAGGTAGGGGTGGTGCCCCCTAACCCCCTGCCAAATTCCTCTTCCAATATTTTCTTATTTTCCTTATATTTAAGGTGGTCCCCTGGTCCCAGGCCAAACAAAGCCCTCGACCTGTACTTGCCTCCCTCTGGCATGCTCTGCTCTGCCAGCCTCTCTGCCAAGGACGTTTTCCCTCTGCAAACCCCATGGGTGATACTTGCCTGTGGCTTCTGCTTGCAGCTGGCATGCCTGCTGCAGATGCTAATGAGCACATCCACTCCCTGTGGGGAGAAGCAGGGTTTGGTGCGTGGGCAGGTGCACAGGTTTGGGGATGAAAGAGATCTTGGTTTCAGTGCCTGAGTGGTTGTGTGACCTTGAGCAAGTGCTGACAACCTTTCTGAGCCTCGGCTATCAAATCTGTAAAATGAGGACAGTTACGCGACCCTGCAGAGTCGTGAGGGCGAGGGGCATGGTGTGTAAAGGGATGGATGCAAAACAGGTACCCAGTCTATAACCCATCTGCCTGAGATGTCGCTCACCTGCTTGCTGCCTTGTCCCTCCTCCGAGCCCTTCCTACAGACCCCGGAGTGCTGACTCAGTCTTTCCTGCTCTCTCTCTTGCCATGAGACCCAGTGGGCAGAGACATGGCCTGTTCACCACTGTCTCCTTGGCACCTGGAACAGTGCCTGGCTCAGAGTGTACAAATGGATGGATGGATGTGTAAATGAGTGAATAAATGAATGACAGGAAAATTATATAACCAGCTTATTTGACAGGTGGAAACATCAACACCCAGAGGGTAGAGAGACAGAATAATATGGGAAACCAGCAGCAGAAAAACAAAGCGGGTTATAAAATGGCATGCACAGGATATTTTATTCAACAGACTGAAAGGGTGGACACCAAAACATTTAGAGATCTGAGTGGCGGGATGAAGGTGATTTTTATCACCATTGTTTTGCTTTTGGGCTACTGAATTTTCTACTGAGGCTGTGTGTTACTTGAGTAATTAAAAAAAAAAAGATGCAAGGAAACCAGGTGAGACAGAAAACAAAACCAGTGGCGCATGCAGAAGAGGGCCCAGCATGCCCCTTGGTGAATCTTGCACACGTCCTTGGCAGGGGAACTGAAAGATCAGCAGCTTGGGGTGGCACCTGTTGGCTGTCCCTGGCCCTGAGAACGTGGCCTGCACTCCTCCCTGGGACCCCATCTTATCAGAGAGTGCTATCAGCCATTCCCTGAGACAGTCCACATTTTGCGAAATCTTTGTACTCTGCCACCTCCAAGAAGATACATTCATCATCTGTACAAGTAAGTGATTTCAGTTTGTATCTTTATAAGAGTTTTCCTGAATAAGGGGAAAAACCTCTTTTATCAGGCTATGCTCCCCTGTTTTCAGCTCAATGTGGCCACCTCTATAACAGCTCCTGGGATCTGTGCCTTATGATGGCGGTCCCGGAGGGTGGAGTATCATCTGCACAGAACCAGACACGTTGAGGACACTCTATAAGTATTTGCTGCATTGAATTAGACCTCAAGAAGAATCTTTTCTCTTTGTGTGAATATTGTTATTGAATTTTTATTTTACTTAACACCCTCTGCAAAGAAGGATTCATTTCCCAGCACATTAATCTGACACAAGTGGACTGCAAGTAACGTGATTCTGCCCAACCCTCAAGAAAATCCCACCGCCTGTACGTTGTCTGATGGAAGAGACATGAAGAGGAATGTTCTACTTGCCTTGCCATTTGTCTCCTGGATATATGATGTCGAAAAAAATGAACTGTTGGGATTTTTTCTCACCCAAAGTTTTTAGATATAAAGCTTTGCTCAGCATTAATAAAATATTATTTATCCTGGTTCCCAGTTACTTTAGAATTGGGATTATTTTCCATGTAGCCAGCATTCATTATCTGCAAACACTGTAGGTGTCCTCTTGGCATTTTGTGGTCAGAGTGATGGAATTAAACCACTTTCAAAGCCCTATCTTGGGACATGGGGTTTGACAGCAGCAGAACCTTTCCCGTGGCTGTGTTTGGATGTGGGGGAGGGGCATTCACCCATCCCAGGGGAGCCGTGCTCTGTCTTCGCTGTCCAAGAAAGAAGCTACTAATTCATGGATGTGTATTTTTAGTTCCAACTCAAGCTGAAGAATCAAAGAGTTCTTGGCCCTTCCTTGCTGCTGTAGATAAACAATCTGGTGAGCAATGTGATTTCTTATTTTGCCATGTGCCAGCCATACAACAGGGATAACAACACTGCCTAAGAAGCTGAGGCCTTGAAAGCTCATTGCTGTGTGTGGAGTGCTGGATACTGACAGATGAGAGGCCCTAGGAGCGAGGTGGGATGCTGTTTCACCTGCCAGGCAGTGTGAGGAGGGTCTGCACTTTGATCTCTTGCAGCACACAGGAGAAGCTGGCTACTTCTAGAGGGCCCCCATATGGGAAACCGAATGAAGACAAGGAAGATTCATCCAACCCCACTGTAAGCAGAAGCCACCCCAATCTCAGCCCCCACCCCAGGTGGACTCCCAGCACACCCTGGGGACAAATGCCTTCCCCCATCCTCCCTTCCTCTGGCAGTAGCAGAACCTGGCTAGGGCAACGTATCCATCTCGTTTCATGAACTTCATTCATTCACAGATATTCACCAAGTGCTCATGTGCCCAACACTGTGCTTTTCCCTCTTCCCTCAGCAACAGAACTCCACATGTTCTCTGCCCTAGTCACACCAGCCTCTCAAGTCTCTTGCAGGCCTGGTCCTCCCTTGAGCCACAGGACCTTTGCACAAGCTATTCCTGCAGCCTGAAACACTCTTTCCTTCGGAACCCTTTCTCAGCTGAAGCATCCCTTTCTGAAGCAAACATTCCCTGACCCTGCCTCAGTCCACCACCACCCTCACCCTAAGTACACCCAGCGCCACGTGTCCATCTGCATTTTACCATCACAGCTGCACTTGATGCCTGATTAATCGCTTCCTCAGTCATTTACCGCTACCTACGAGGAGCAGGGCATTTGCGGGTGATCTTTTCGCCAGTGTCTGTCTTCTCCTAGATCAGAAGAGGATCTAGGAAGGCTGCTGTCTTTGCTCAGCTCAGAGTCTGGCTCACAGAATAGGGCTCCATAAATATTTGTTGAATCCTTGTCAAAGCACCTAACCAATAGTCTAATAATCCCCCTTATTAATGTGAACATACAATAAGAATTTTTAACCAAATCAAATATAACAGGACCCGTTAATGAGGGATCACAACCTGCACCATGCTGACCACTACTGGTTTTAGCAGTGATCCAGATCTAGTGCAGTTTTGTAGGAAAGAGGGGGCTGTATTCCATGTCTGTCTGTCTGGATGGCTGGCTCTGTGCCTCGCTTGTCACGGCAACAAATGAGAACGGCGATAAGAATGTGTAAGAAGCCAGGTGGCTGTGATGGTGTGGATGGTTACAGGAAAAGAAAGGCATAAATTACTCTTCGGCAGTAGTCAGAGGAGATCTGACACTGAACCTGCTCAGTGGTGTTGAGATTTTATAACCATTAACAAAAGCGACACCCTCGTTATTGACATTCCTGCAGGAAAAACAACTTGGCCTTTGTGAGCTGGAAACCCAACCCCAACACAATTTTTTCCACTGAAATTATTTTTGATGAGGTGAAGTTTCTTAGGGATGCAACCATCATGGAACAGGCACTCTCATATGAGAAGTCGTGGCAGACACAGAGATGCACACAGTTCTACCATCCAGAGCAAAGCTCGCTTCATTCCACTTCTGGGGCTGGGCAGGGGTGGGGACAGGAGGGCTCGCCATCCCTCCTCTTCAAGGGAGTGCAGAACTCAGTACTGTGTTCAAGCCAGCCATCAAGGGCCCATATACCCCCTGAACATGTCCTGTCTGCTATATGGCCATGAAACTGGCCACGGAGCCATCACGCCCTCGGCACACACGTTCTGGTTGTCAGGGAGACCAGTGCTGCAGGACAGCAGGCACCAGGGATGGGAGTCACACTCGAGTTCTGAACTGCCTTCCAACGGGGGAGAAAGAACCCATGCCCTTAGTCAGGCCACAGAACTCAGTGGGTGCAGAGGTCACAAGAGAGGAGAACACTCAAAGCCAGAGGTGAGAAAAGACTACCCAGGTTTCAGGCAGCACAGAAGGAGGGGTTGGCGCTCACCTAGTCCTTCTTTGGAAGCCAGTCAGGCCACTCGCTTTGCAAGGGTCAGAAGGTGGACTGTGTGGGAAGGCAGGCAAGAGGGATTTTCTCCTCACAGCCTGTTTCCATGGTGCCTGACAACCCTTGGCAAACCACAGTGTTGGGGAGTCTTGGACAGTCAGGGGGCCCCAGGGCCTTATCTTGCCCGGGCCACCCTCCAAGTCTCATCCTCCTGGCCTGTCTGGGCCCCAAGAGTGACAGAGGCCGCAGACAGGCAGCCAGGGCCCCCCTCTCCTGCCTCCCAGGGAAAGGAGGGAGTGAGAGAACCACCAAGGCGAGCTCCGGCCGACCCCCTCCGTTGCCCGCCCTTGGGGAATGTGTGGCGAGGCCTGAGCTTCCCCTGGGGCTTTGCTGTCTGCCTAACAGACCCTCTAACGAGGAACACATTCTTTCCTTCCCTCTCCTCCCCTCTCGGCATGGACTGCACAGCCAGATAACCAGATAAGGGAGGGCCTCTTTGATTTCCAGAGTGTTTACACAGGCTGTGGCCCCAAGTCTTGGAAAGAATCACCCACAGCCAGGCAAGTCAGGACACCTCCAGGTGGGGTGAGGGGGGACGGATGCCTTACCTGCTCCTGGGAATTCATCACCCGCAGCTTCATCTGCTTCAGGTACGTGGAGGTGAGGGGCATGTTGTAGTCAATAATCCCGGAGACCAGAGGAGACGGAGGCTCGTTTTCTGGCAGAAGGAACAAAAGGAAGCCCACTTTCAGTCTGTGCTGTGGGCCTGTCACCCACATGGAAGATTCAACAGGGATGCCACCTCTAAGGAACAGGCCTGAGGTCACAGGCTGGGGGCCTTCCCACCATATCTGGTCCGTACATGTGGACCATGCGGTGTTGAAAATGTTTTTCAATTCGGTGCCGGAGTTTGAGATTTCACATGTTAAAAAGTATGAATTTTTGGCTTCTTTGAAACTGGAAGTTCTGGCCACACGGGGCCTGCATTGCCAAAGGCAAGCGAGCTGCACCCGCTTCTCTTAGACGGGGGTGTGCCCTCCATCCTGCCATAGTCCCCACCACTGCTATCTCATTGCACACCTTGGCTCAATTATGACACTTGCCAGGCCCTTAAAGGCATTTAAGTTTCCAACCCTGGTCTAAGTCAGCTCTCTTCCTGGGGAACACATGTTGCCATCACTACCACCCAACCCCACCGCACCCCCTAGTACCATGTGGCTCACAGGTCTGGGCCAGGCCTCCAGAACCGCCCTCCCCACCGAGGTTCCTCCTTAATCACATGCGGAAGGCATCATTCCTCCCACTTACTGCTTTGTTGTAATGATCAAAGTAAGGCATGTTCTTTTTGTAGAAAATTTGCAGAGTGCAGAAAGATGTAAAGAAAAACATTTAAAACCATAATTGCACCAAACAGCTTAGCATGTGCTTCTGTTTATTTTTTCCTTGTGATCTTTCTTCTTTACATACATGATATCATAATGAATTCAGAGAATTATAGTCTACTTTTAAAAAAAGGTGGTTTGTTTTTCTTGGTTAACATTTTATAATAGGTATTTTCTCCACCATCAAAAATCTTATTTTGCTTTGCGAATGTTATTTTTATAGCTGTGTAATATTTTACCATAATTTACCTAAGTCATTCCCTTATGATTGGCTATTTAGGTTGGTTCCTATTGGGGCTATTATAAACAACACTGCAGGGAACATCTTTGTGCATAAATATTGATCTCTATTTCTGATCTTTTCCTTTTTAGAAAAGATTCCAAGAAGTGGAATTCATGGGTCAAAAGGTAGGAATATTTGAAAACTCTTGAAGTCTCTGGCCAAGCTGCTGGAGGAATAGTCTCAATTACCTGTTCTCTGGCTTCCTCCTCCTGCCTCCAAGGACTTCAGGCCAGGTTCATTTCACCCCAGGCCTTTGATCAAAAGATCCTCTGGTGCCTAGTTCCATTGATGGGCTCGGATTTGAGCAGTGTGAGAAGAAGCAGGAGTGACTTCCAGACTAGCCAAAGCCTGCCCTCCATCATCACCACCATACCCAAGAGACAGGCTGCAGGGGAGGCAGGTGAGAGGGCCAAGGTGGAGGAAATGCAGAGGAAATCTGGGGGTGATCTGCTACCCCTCCAGAGGAGAGGCCAAACCAAAAAGACCCCTGCAACCTTGAAAACACTGTTCCAAGTGAAAGGAGCCAGACACAAAAGGACAAATACTATACAATTCCACTTATTTAGAACAGGCAAGTTCATAGAGACAGAAAGTAGGATAGAGGTTACCAGGGGCAGGGGGTGGGGGATGGGAATGAGAAGTTAATGCTTAATAGGCACAGAGTTTCTGTTTATGGTGATGAAAAAGTTTTGGAAATAGTGATGGTGGTTGCTCAACAGTGTGAATATCGTTTAATGCCTTAAAATGGTATAATTAAGAATTATTAAAGTGACAAATTTTATGTAATACTTTAACACAATTAAAAAAGAAAAAAAGGGGGCTGGCTGGTTAGCTCACTTGGTCAGAGTGTGGTGCTGATAACACCCAGGTCAAGGGTTCAGATCCTGAACCGGCCAGCCACCAAAAAAAAAAAAAAAAAAAAAAAAAATTCTCTGCAGAGGAGGGGGTGAAGTTACCCAGAGAGGACAAGGGAAGTTTCTGCTTGGCAAGAGCAGGAACAGTCCTGCAGGAAACGGAGATCCAAACAGACTGCTGTTCTCCTGAGGCTAGGTACGCCAGGCAATCGTACAGATTGAATAATGTGTTGAATCAAGTTTTATAAAAATGCAAAACTTTGTTTTGCTTTTTTCTTTTTTTTAAAGATGACCGGTAAGGGGATCTTAACCCTTGACTTGGTGTTGTCAGCACCACACTCTCCCAAGTGAGCTAACCGGCCATCCCTATATAGGGATCTGAACCCGTGGCCTTGGTGTTATCAGCACAACACTCTCCCAAGTGAGCCATGGGCCGGCCCTTTGTTTTGCTTTTTAAAGCTATGATGTCACACACAGAATGTTTCACTTTTTGTTTTTTGAGGAAGAGGTAAATGTCACTGATAGAATATCTCAGAAACCAGCTTGAAATGGACACCCCCCCCCCATTTTTTTAAAGAGAATTCCTTGTGGTTGGGTGGCAGACATTCCCGGACGCCAACATCTCAGCCTCTGGTGTATGTGGAAACTCAATGTGCTTTTGTATCCTCTTCTCCTTGACATCGTCAGCCTACACTCAACTTCCTTAACCCGGGGGCTTTGAGGACGTGGCCCCCCAAAATCGACTGGGTTAGAGGTAATATGTCAGGCAGACATTCCAGTGACAACACTGAGATGGTTCCTGTTTTCAGTTCCTAGGTCTTCAGACTGAGGGCTCTGCTGTTTCCATTTCACTTCCTCAAAGACGAGGTTGTCTGGTGAGAAGCTATTAGACATCATGGTACATGTGAAGGGTCACCCTCGCTTTGACAGCCCCTGGTCAGAGCTTTACCGGGTGTCACAGTGACTCTGAGCTTGGTAGTCTATGGAGGCAGGCAGCTGTGTTCTTTTACTGATGGTCACCCACATCCTGCCTGAAGTGCCATGACTAAAGTATCTTTAATAAAGCCAGTCACAGTTTGACTTAGGGAAAAAAAAACAAGGGCTAGCTCGGGATGCTTGGGAGATGGGAAAAGGGGTCTTCCTTGGTCTGTTTCCCCCCCAGAATCTCCCAGATCAGAAACTGCTTCCAGTGCCCAGAGGTGAGCCAGGAGAGGTCAGGAAGAGGAAGGCAGGATGCCCTTGTCTTGGGGAAGCTGGGATGTCCTGAGCAAACACACAATCCCATTAGAGAACATCTTGTATTGGTGAGCAGTGACATGCTCAGTTCTGCAATCCCAGAAGTGAGTTCTGCTGGAGAAGCTGGAACTTGGTGGGCAGGGGACATTCCAGGTGAGGCACTGAGCTGTGGTGCTGGTGGTGGGAGGTCAGAGCTCGACCACACCACAGCTGAGAGAAAGGCAGCTAGGATTTTTGGCAGTGGGGAGCTCCGCGTGCTCTGAAGAAGTGGTGCCCACTGACAGGACCAGCTTAATGGGAAAGAGAGAAGGAGCAGGGGCCATTGGTGCTCTGCGGAGTCACATGCTCACAGGAGAGACAAGTGCCGGGCTGGGGGATGAGCTAAGGTGGAAACGTGAACACGGAAAAGTGGATCCCTTGGGCTCTGCCGAGACAGGCTGGGCCCCCAGTGTGGACAACACATGTGGTGGCCACACTCGAGCCAATACAAATAACCTAATACCACTGCACGTTTGGACGTTGTTACCATAGAGAGGGGTGGATTAGAAGCCAGCAAGGGCCATGGAGCCTAAATAACCCAGCAAGCTGCTGGTCAGCGAGGCAGAGAAAGTGCCAGAGAAATATTTCAACGCCTCTTTGCTAAGGAAAACTGAAACCAGCTCAAGCACTAGACCTAGTTTTACATGGCCTTGAAAATAATCCATGATGTAGAGGCTTCACCCAAGCCAAGCCAAAAGCTGACCTCCACAGCTGGTCACCCATGGCACTTATAAATCAGCACGAATTTCAAGTGAGGTGGTGGTCCTCAATTTCTCCAGGTGGCACGTGAGGTGGCAATTCTCACAAGCCGTCACCTACAGAGTGGAGGAACTCCTGCTCCAGAGCAACAGTAGCTTCTGGGTGCCAGTGGCAAGGGGTAGAGGATCGCCCAGGCCGTGCAACACGATGAGGGCCCGGCACAGAGAAGCCATGAGATCAGCCTGGGGTTCAGATGTGGAAACAGAAATCCCAGGTCCAGGGCCAGCTCAAAAGGTGATTAAAAAAAATCTTCCTGGGAAGTGAATCAATGGATCTGCAAGTCTTCGAGGAGCACTGATGTGCGTGCATTCAGGGTGGGGAAGGTGGGGAAACCATGCATGGCTCAAGAAACGTGAGTGAGGAACGAGCAGCATCCATTAGAGCACAGAGGAGGAAGAGCTAAAAGGGCCCTGGGGTGGCTCAAGAAAGCTTCGTGAAGAGGGTCTGAACAGGACTCATGTTCAATCTCCTAGCTAACAGCTACTGAGCTAAGTGCTCCATATGGACCCTCTTGCTCAATGCTCCCAAGAACCCATGAGGTGGGCGCAGTATTAACACCCCCATTGTACAGTTGAGGCAGCAGCGCAGAGAGAGGCAATGCAGCTTTCCCATAGTCACGCAGCAAGTATGAGCGCCGGGAGAGGACAGGCCCTGCAGGGGCAAAGGAACAGGCTGGAATGGGGTCATGTTAGGGAAGGACAGGAAGGAGGGATCTGGAAGGGCCAGGCATGGAAGGCCTTGGAAACCACGCAGAGGAGTCTGGGCCTGGTAGCAAAGGAAGCCAGCCCGAGTGGACAACTTGCTCGCTAAGGAGGGCTAACCATTGTTGCCCATTACCAACTCCTAGTTTGCAGTCATGCAACAATATCTTGTCACATCAAAGAAAACAGAAGCATGTCCCCAGAGGTCCCTTTCCCCACGAGCAGGGACTGCTCTGAAGGCACACCCGGTTCCCATTCTCTCCAGCCTGGACTCGTTCAGGGGCTGGGGGAAGAGGAGCATGGAGTCGGAATGCCCTGGAATTTCCCATCCTTGGACTTCCTGATCCTCTGTAGCCTCCTTTGTTTATGCTCCTGGTGCTGGGGGAGGGCACGGGGCTGTCCAGTCCCCCACACTCTGCTGGGGACAAACCGCTGAGCAAGGGAGGCCACTCTGTTTCCTTTCTTTCTTTATAACATGAGGCCAGAAAGCAAGGCATTCTCCCAGCAGCCCTCAAGAGGTCTCCATCCTGTTCCCTGTCCCCCTTCCCTCCCCCACCTTCCTGGGACAGGAACACTGGGCCTGCCTCTGGGGCCAGGGGCAGGCTCCGATTTCCCAGGGAGGAGGGAGGGCTGGTGTAGCAGGGGTGCCTGTGAAAGAGCAGTTACCGCATCCAGAAAGGCTCACCGTGTCCAGAAAGGCCAGCATGGCGGGCAGAGATAGGATCTCCAGGCTCCAGGCTCCCGGCTGGGGCAGGAGAGGGGAGAACCTGCCAGCTGGCAGGGATGGCCCAGGAGCCTAATGCCTCTGGCCATTTAGCAGACAGGGGAGCCTTTCAGACTCTGAAGCTCTACACTGGCAGCTTCCAGAAACCAAACCCTGTGTCCAGGATGCAGACACAGCATGCTTGCCTGGATGAGGTGGGGGTGCATTACTGACCCCACCTTGGTGGAGGCTGATGGTGCATCTCTCTGCGGGGCCACGTGGACATTGGCAGTCTTTTGTCTGGGAACTATGGTGCAGCGACATGGACAGGAGACAGGCTGATGTTCCCCAGGCCTCCACTGTGGACCAGGTGCCCTGCATAGTGAGCTCATTTAATTCAACTCCACCCTCACAACCCCCAGAGAAAGGCATTACTCCCATTTTGCTGATGAAAAAATTTCTGCCTTCAATTCTACCTCCTGTGAGAACTTGGATGAGTGATTTCACCTCAACACCTCTCCGTGCCTCAGTTTCCTCTGCTATAAACCAGGGTTAATACCTCATAGGACTGTAGTAGCTGTTATGAGCAGGAGGTGCTCAGAGAGGCTCCCTGACCTGCCCAGGGACACACAGCAGGGAACAGGGCTGCACACCCAGCCAACCTGACCCCAAGCCCACACTCATTCATGGGCTACACTGTCTCCTGCCCCTCTGTTCTCTTCTCCCTGTGATAGGACGCTCTGCTACGTGGGACACAAAAGTGGCATTGCACCTGTGGATGGACATGGTGCCTGTTTTCTGTCCTGCCTGTAAGCCCCAGGAAAGAGGCTCCCACACAGAGCCAACCAAGCTGGTTTATATTCTAGGCGGCTCCTGGCCTGTGTGCTCCCTGCTTCCTCCCCCTCCTCCTCCTCCTGGGGGAGGGGGCGTGGGGCAGGGTGGCGGCAGGCAGCGAGGAGAGGAAGGAGGCTGCTGCTGTCCTCTACATTGCCCTCCCAGCCACACAGAAAGCCACAGATGAAGAGGAGTGGAGCCCACAGCCCTGGAGACCTTGCAGCCTTGGATGAGAAGGGTGGGGGCGGTGAGGAGCATCCTTCTCGATGCATACCATCGATTCATAGCTGGGGAGCAGAGTAGAGGGGGCCTGCAGACACCCCAGAGCAGCCCACAAACGCAGCCCCTCTTGGCCTTGCCTCTGTTCTTGCAGGAGAGCGGTTCTGTGTCTGACTCCTTGAGTTACTATGGAAACAGGACAGGAACGTGAGGGGACAGGAAGATGGGTGGGCAGGAACCAGGCAGCTGCCACCAGGGCACATGCCCCTGGGGTCTGGACCCTAGCAGGATGGGGAGTGCAGTAGGGAAAGCCCTCCTGGCCCATCTGCAGGTACTAAAGTCTTGGCCCAGGGGTTGCAGCCGCTCAGTCAGGGCCAGGCCACATGGGGCAGCGTCACTCAGGCATTCAAGAACTGCAACGGCCACAGCTCACTCCTCCTGCACGTAGCCCTGTGCCCAGGACAGGAACTAACTCCCACATCTCATCACCCCTCTGAGGGAAGTACCATTACTAACCCCACTTCACCCCTTACCATTACTGAGGAAACTGAGGCTCAGAGAGACGAAATCACTTGCCTAGGACACACAGCAGTGTAGTGGCAGAGCTGCGATTCAAACCCACACAGCGTGGCCCTGGAGCCCTGCCCTTACTACCGAAACCAACACTTTATGAGGGATTAACTAGATCTGTTCCTGTCCCTCTTGCTTTAGAAGCTGACTGATGTGCCCCAATGAAGCAGCCATGGTGTAATCGCTCCCACAGACCAGGAAAGCCTCTAGCTTTGGTGATTCTTCTGGTGTCAGAAGTCGTGCACATGCGTCAGGGATAACTAAAATGAAAGGATGCTTATGCATCCAGTTTCTTTGTTGTCATCTGCTCGGGCTTTGTGGTTGATTTTTCCTTCTCAGATTTGGTGGATGCTACTTAAGCACCATCCGGATAAACAGCTTGCCCTTCATTCCTAGCCTATTCCCATTTGCAGGCAAAGCATCCATTAACTTTAGCAACTTTTGCAGTCCCAATGCTCTGGAGCTGGCACGCTGCACTGGGGAGGGCAAGAAACGCTGATAAATCACCCACCTGGGCACCATTTCTCAGGGCAGAGTTATAATCATCCCAGTCAAATGTGTTGGCCTATGTCACTGTGCCCAAGCCACCCGCAAGCAGATGGGCCCCCAGATTTACCAGAGGCCTCTGAGGATGTTCAGGTCAAGGGTGTGTGTATGGGGGGGCGGGGCTGAAGGGGGTCCCTGCTGGTCTCAGTGGGCAGGACAGAGCTGGGAAGCATGGATATTGGCCCAATGGTCACAAGTGCTCTGGGCATTTTAAATTCTAATCAATCCCCATGGATTTACTGATCAGAGACCACACGGGTGAGCACAGGGAGGGGACAGACACAAGGAAGGACCTCTTGGCAGGTGTTGTGGGCTACAGGGTAGGAGGATACACACATGGAGGGGTGAGCTCCTGTCATCATAGAGCATATGGGCCAGACCTACATGGCTCATGTGTGGAGAAACAGTCTTCTGCAAGGCCTGGGTGGCCAGAATTACAGAGCTTTGACAATGGGATGGGAGGGCCCTTTCCAATTGGAACCTAGATGGGAGAAGAGAAAATGGCCTTGAAAAGCAGGAGAAAGGTATTGTTGGTTTTTAAGTAAAACTTGAGGTTTAGAAAAAGTTAAAACAAAATGAGGCTCTCAGGGCAGCACACCGACACACGTTTGCCTCTGGGGATGGTAACAACTGCCGAACCCACACTTTTCTGTCTGTGCCAGTGAAAGGCAGGCCCGTCCAGTGGGGGAGTCTGTTCCCTGCTGAGTCCCCCAACACACCCACCCACCTCCCCTACCTTTGGGTTCCAGGCCATTAGAATTAAAGTGCATCCTCTTCTGACACTCCGTGCAGCTCATCAGGAACCGGGTCACAGCCTCTCTCGGGAGGAAGGCGTAGGTCTCTGCGATCTGGAGGAGAGACGAGGTTTGCTCATTATGTAGATCCGTGGGGAGGCAACTTGGCCACTGGGTCACCAAAGCCTGTGCTTCAGCAGCAGGCGCTTTGGCCCTTGCTGGGGATGGCAGGGATTCTGGGAGACGGGGCAGATGTCCTCGAGTCTTAACTGCAGAAATGAGTCAGTACTTTCACAGAAACCCATTTGTTAAAAAATTTGAATAAATGAGGTTAAAAGTTGAAAAAGTAAAGCATTTAAACATTATCTAGTCTTTAACTTATGTTCTAATAAGTAATATTCCTCTCAGAACATTTTATTGCTGCTGCTAAAAAATGAGCTCATAAGCATTCTCTAGGGTAGAACAAACAACTTCCCCTCTTAGAGATGGATAAACTGAGACCCGCTTACAAATTCACTGGCTCTGGGCTGAGAAACAGAACCGAGGGGTCTACAAGCTATTTCCTGTGATAACTCACAGATCAAGAACCTTGTTAGGGAGAACTGTGAAAAGCTGGTGCCAGGGAATCAGATTTTTCACACCGGACAGGCTCTCAATGTTCCAGGTGATTGAGGCCCAAAGAGGAGAACTAACTCACCCGAGGTCATACAGCTCCTTCAAGGCAGTGTCAGACTAAAACCTGTGCTCCAGGTAACACTGCCCCATAGCAAGCTGCTCCCCTAGCTAGGAAGAGGAGGGAGGTTGGGGGAGGGAAGGGAGAAACAAAAGGGAGAGAGCATGAGGGAAATGCTGGGTGGGGGAGTGGGGAGGAGGTGGCCCAGAAGTCCAGTCCTCTCCTCTTGCTCTGGATTTTGGGAAACCTGCTGGCCCTGATTTGTCTGCTTGTGGGGGCCAAAGAGTCCCCCTAGTCCCAGGTTCCCTGGGCTGAGGATATCCAGTTGCTGGTTTTTACACACACCTCCCAGATCCTGGGTCCTCCCGCTTCTCTCCACTAAGGGGCAGCATCGCCCCAGCGTTCTGCCATCCTCACTGCAGCCCAGCTGGGAAGGTTGGCCGGGGGCGGAGGGGGCTGCTCTGGGCTGCACTAGGCCCTGCCTCCTCTCGGGACAGCGCCTGGTCTGCTCCCTTGGGGATTCACGAGCTGCACCATCTCTATAAAGGCCAGGAGGGGGGTTGGGGGGAGGTAGGGCAGGGTTGAGGGGATGTAGAAGGCCCTGGGTGCCCCAGGCTGCGGCCAGGTCCTCAGAGGACCAGCTCAGGCACTTCCAGCTTAGCCCGCCTGCAGAATTCCAGGGGCCACTCCTGCTGGCTGCAAACGCAGAGTTAATTTTGGTGACACTATTGTTATTTCTCAGCTGATTTGATACTCTGTGGAGCAGGCAGCCTCCTTGATGAGTTATCTCCCTTCCAAATTCCCCATCTGATTGCCTTCCTCTGGAGGTCAAGGACAAGGGCAAACCCCAGTGTCTCTGACTGGAGTAGGTAGATGGGAGAGTAACAGTCAGAGGTTCTGTGAATCCTTCTCGGGTGTAAGGGCCAAGGGACGGGGGCTTTTCTGCCATGCACACGGACGTCTCCATCCCCAGCTCAGAGCTGCCTGGAAATCTTGGGGACAGCATGTTCCTCCCAGACCGCTATGCTGGAAGGGATGGGCCCTGCTGATGGGCTGATGGCTGCAGAAGCAAACCGGCAAGAGGGAAGGGTGTGTGTTGGGCAGAGAGAGGGCTGTGGCTGACTTGGGCTAATGGATCACCCCCTCAGCTCCCCTGAGACATGGCACCCTAGGTCAGGCCTCAAAGGAGCTGAGTGGAGGACCTGGGGGGAGGAGGGTTGCACAGTCAGCTGGACGAAGGAGGGAAAGGTTCATATAACAGGGGCAGCCGTACTTAACTACACAGAGCTTGCTTGCTCACCTGCTGCTGGGCAGGGAAATATTTTTTAAAGTGTTCAGGGAGGGCCTCCTGGCCTGGCTGATGGGCAGGGCCCTTCTTGCTACCCGGCCCTTGAGGGCACAGGATAGTTCTCCAGGGGTGAGAGTGGTGGTCACAGCTCTCCTGGCCTTGGGAGGGACTTCAGTGGTGTGCAAGGGCTGGCTGAAGCGCCATGGGGAGGGGCAGCGCTGGGCACACACCTTGTGGCCCTGGGTCCCACAGAGGGGCGGGAGGCCAGGACTGAAGACCAGTAGGTGAGAAGTCCTAAGAGCTGTCCGAGGGCTGGGGAGGGAAGCTCTTCCTTGAGCAACTGGAAAGTCTGCACCTTTGCTTAGAGCTCCGTGGGGAGTCAGTAAAGTGCAGAGTGCAGCCCAGCTCTATGCTGCTGTAGGGATCCATATAGAGGAGGACGCACACCCCACCTTCAACCTTCTGTGGACATCTTTTGGTTCACCCTCCTGGCTTTGCCCAAGGCCAGAAATGGGACCTCCATTCCTGTTTGAGTGCATGGATGTGAAGGCCACAGGACCACAAGATGAGTTGAAACCAGAAGGTCAATCCTAGAAGACACTCTAGTCAATAGGATGGTGGTTTTCAGATGGTTTTAGAGCTACAGACCCTGTGCTAGAAATAGATTCTTATGCTGAAGCCCAAAACATGAAACAGATAAAGATAGAGCTGCTGTGTTTAAGGAGGGGAAGCTCCAGGACCCCATCCTTGCCCAGCTGCCTCCAGCTCCCTGGGCTGCCTCATGCCTTGCTCTCTTGTATGCGAGTTTGCCTTTTACATTTTTCCTAGTGGTAAAAACTGAGATTTCACTGGCAGGGAGAGCAGGGGCTATTTGCAGAGACGCTGACTTGCAAGGCCCCGTTTTCGCTCCCAACTCAGAGGCTGACAAAGACAGATGAGGCCAATTGGGGGGATTTGCACCACTTTACAAGATCCTCCTTCTGCCCTATGGGGGGATTAGCACGTGGTGGGTCTGGAGCAGCTGCTGACCACATCTGGCCCCAACTCCAAAGTGGCCTGGGCAGCTAGATCTCAGCTAGATCTCAGCTAGATCCAGAACCAGATCTGCTCTACCAGGACCCTAGGAAAGAGAAAGGAAGCAAAAGGACTCATTCCAACCCAGATGGATGCAGAAATCAGAAAAGCAGGAAAGACGGTTGAAAAAAGGACCAGTCCTCTATGTGTGTTCAGGGAACTTTATAGAACCACCTGGAACCTTCCCTAGACACTGGCACTGGCAAGACCCCAGCACTGGCAAGACCCCCGGGCTTCCTGCTTAAAATGGGAATCCTGCATTATCCATAGTAAATGGCCATCTGCTTCTGGCTCAAATACTTCCAGTTTCAGAAAGTTCATTACCTGCCGTCTTTGATCCATTGCTAGACAGTGGTAGATGCTACAAAGTTCTTTTTCCCACTGAAGAATCTGCCTCCTTTAGTGCCCTGAGCAAGCCTGTCTATCTGCCTATCAGTCCCATGACTCCCACAGGCACCCCCAGCATGTAAGAATCTGGAAAGCCCCCTGTGCCCTAGAGACTGTGAGGCAGTCCCAGGGCTCAGCTTTGGCAAAACACCCAGAGACAGGTACAAAATCTCCTCAGTCAAGGGCTTGACATACATTCTGCGGTGCCAGGCCATGCCTCTGCAGCCACCAGCACGAGGTTTGTTGGGGGACTCTTTCCACAGGCATGGATGCGGTGGGGGCCTCGTATCTTCAGAATGAGGCTGAAGAGCTAAGTTTGGGTCAAGGAAAATGGGAGCAGATGAAAAGAGGGGGACAAAAGCACCCAGGCACCACCTCCTGCCCCCCAAAAAGAAAAGGGTGGCATGAGAAGAGTGACAGATGGGGAGGAGGCGGAGGAAAGGAGAGGAGGCACATGGGGTAGGGAGGGGCACACGCCAGCCCCCTCAGCCTCACACCCGCAGCAGGAGGGCCCTGGCCTGCCCAGCGCAGCCTTGGCCCTGCTGCTGAAATTCCAGCTCTGTGCGTAGCTCAGCTGGCTCCACGCCAGTCATGTGCCAGCTCCAGGCTGGGCCGCGGGAAGTGGGGCACACGGCAGGCATATGGACAAGAAGCAGGAAGCGCAGGGCAAAGGGCTGGATGTCCGCTTGGCCCAGAGATGTGAACGCTGGCAGGACTAGCCCAGCCCTGCCCTCTCTATAGCCTGGCAGCCACAGACCCCAACCTTCATAAATACCCAAGGAGTGCCTGTGGGTGAGGTTTGGTGCTGGGCACTGAGGGGACCAGGGAAATCATATGGTCTGGCTGGCCCAAGCCCATCTGCCTGGACAACAGCAGGTCATTAGGCTTACTAGCTGACCACAGGAAGTTGTAGAGAGGCAGGGGGTGCGGTGGTCAGGGCACAGGGCTTGGGGCCAGCTGCTGGCTCTCCAGGGCAGCTGGAGACTTCAGGCAGGTTATGTGTCTCTCTGAGCCTCACTTTCCTCATCTGGAAATGGAGGTAACAATAGCACCTGCTTCATACATCCAACCTTCACACATGTGAACACTCAGAGAGTTGGTGCACTGGAAGAGTTGGGTGCAGAGCCTGGCACATGCTGAGTGCCCAGCACAGTGGTAAATTTCATGCTGAGAAAACATGCTGGGTCTCACCGATACCAAGGGGCCCATGCTGGCCCCAGCCTGGGCGCCTCTCCCTTCCTCTATGACCCTCTGGTGGAAATACCCTCAGAGCTCCCTTCCCACTTCATGAAGTACACATGTTAAGAAGCAGGAGGTGATGGTGACAGTGTGACTACCTCCTGCTTCCCTCAGCCTGACTCTTGCAGCCTTCAGCACATGGGTCCATCCTTAAGATCCACTTAGGGCAAAGGCCATCTTCCAAGGACAAGGAAGATTGTTGGAGTCTTAAAAAATCAGGCCATATGGGAGAACTGTAGACTTATTCAGGCCACCTCCGCCATCGCCTAAGTCTATTTATACAGAGGACTTGGGGGAGTTTCACATCTGCCTTGGGTGGGGAAGCCCAGTCACAGAAAGGCACATCTCTAGGAAGCTGGAGAGAACATCAACACGGAAGGGGCATGAGGACACCACTGGCTGCCAGTCAGGTGTGTGTGACCTTGAATGGGTTGCTCAGCTCTCTGGGTCTCAGTTTTCTTAACTGTGAGATTGGGCCACAGTGCCTCAGTCACAGGCCTGCTGTGAAGCGTGGAGGAGCATAAAGTGCTTGGCTGCACTGGCTTAGCAGTGGGCACGGGACACCTGGTTCAGACCTGTGCATGAGCCATGGCAACAGAGTCAGACATAGGGGCTGGCAGGGGGATGGGTCTGACACAGGCAGGCCCCTCCTGCAGGGCAGAGTGGGGGCCTCTGCTCCGGACACCATCCCCTCTGCCTCCCCTTCCCCCATCTGCGACATTTTCCCACTCCTGGATTTGTCATCTCTGCTCCCTTCTGCCTACCCAAAGCTTAGAATGCCCGCTGACCTGCCACCTTCTCCATGAAGCCCCCCGGCTCAGTGGTACCTTTGCAGACCACCCCAGTGTCTGGGCTCTTGCTCTCTCAAAGCTGGTCTTGGAGACTCTTCTGCTTCTCGAGTGTCTTGGTTCTGCTCTCTGCCTCCCCACCCCAAATCCAATCGTGATCTCCTTGAGGGTGGGGAGCAGGTCCTTAGACTTCCCCAGGGAACTCCCAGGACTGACTTCACAGAGTTGTGGGGGAATTGGATGAGCTCACACACAGGAAGCATTTAGGACAGGCTTGGCACACAGTAAATGCCAGGCCACGGGAGCATGTGCTCTTACGATTATCATTATCTGTCCCCCCCCCCCCCCCCCATGGCCCCAAAACAGGCTGCAAGGGCTGGGGGGG